CTCCTCCTCCTCCTCCTCAAAGTAGATGGCGGCGCTCGCGCTGAGCTTGTTCCTCCCCCTCGACTTCCCGTGSGGGGGCCGAAAGATCAGGTCCTTCATCTGGCTGGACCTYAGGTCCCGGGACTGGACGCCCAGGACGAAGCTGAGGGCGTCCATGCAGTTGCTCTTGCCGGATCCGTTCGGGCCGATGATGCTCGTGAACGACTGGAAGGGACCGATCCGCTGGAGGCCTCCGTACGACTTGAAGTTCTCGAGTTCGAGGTAGGTGACCGGCATGGTGGTGTCCGTCGTTTGGTGCGGTGCCGTGCCGTGCGGTGCCGTGCAAAGCGTGACGTGCCCTGTGTTCCTTGTCCAAGTTGTGGCGCCTCGCGTGCGGTTGGTTGGGTCTGACAGGCAGAGCAGAACAGAACAGGCCTCTCCGTCGTTCCTCGCGAATCGATCGATCAATCAATCGAGTACGTGGGCGATGTTATGTTTGTCGGAATGCGTTGCTGGATGGTGTTCTTTTGCGGGGTCTGGTGTGTGATGCCGGGGTCGCAGAAACAACCACGGAACTGTTCTTGCCCACYGTCTTGCTGCGATGCCATTCCGGATTACAGGCCGAAATCTCGATTGCCAGTCTAGTACCGTACCATGCCGTACGGCATCAGCATCGAACGGTAAGACACGGCACGAATCACCGAGTGTTACGGCACGAGTACAGGCCGGTACAGTACGAACCTCCTCGTAACACTCTTACCGTACGTGCCTTACTCGTAGCCGAACGAGCCTCACTCCAATTCGCATTGCAGTGGTCTCTTCTTTGGTCTGGTGGGTAGCGTATTCCGTCGACAGGAACGAGCCGACGGGCGCAAGATATGGCCGCGCGCCAGAAAACTTGGCGCGAACAACAAGGTGGTACGGTACGTACAGTACTTTACGATATTGTACCGCAGTAGGATGGTCGACTGAATCGAATCCCTCTGAGGGCCGGAATGTGCTTCAAAATACGAAAGGCAGGGTACGTACAATATTACGGTAGCGTAGCGGTACGTACTCGTACCCAACACTCAACGTACGTTACAAAACGTACAGGTACTTGTGCCCGCATGCATGCGCACGGTTCCCCTTTACGTACCTGTACCCAGGGGTCATAATTTATGACCCCTGCCTGTACCTACGGTAGCATCGGGTTTACTGCGAAGTTACGATTACTGTAATACGTACGTACTACTTACTACCGTAGTACCAGTCCAAAGTCCAAATAAGAATACTCATGGCTAAAAATCTCTGACTCATCATAGTAAGATAGTACGACCAAGCACGAGTGAATACCAGTACGTACAGGTACGTACGTACCGTACTTGTTCGTAGTTTTCAAAAAGTTCGAAATCCATCTCTGTTCGATTGCGATTCGGCATGTATTTTACGAACGTACGGCTGGAGTCAGGATAGGAGACAGGAGACACAACTGCTGCGGTCAAGCGGTGTCGGAAGCCTTGACACGGTACAAGTTTTTACGAACTGCCTAGCGACAGTCCCCACTCGATTTTCCATAMATCTTTCAACTCGCAACAAGCAGCCATGGAACCCGCCCGCATTCGAMAGTTCGCCTACGCCACGGCGTCCTTCCTCCTAGGTGCCTGGGCCTTTGTCGCGGTGAACGCCATCTCCGGACCCGCATTCGAACCGATCATTGCGGCCTGCACCAACCCCGACTTCGCTTCGGTCGAGGACTTTGTGGRAAATACCGGCTACCACGAATACGAACCAATGGTCGGGCTCGGCGCCTTCAACCTCCTGGTCTGCCTCATCACCCAGTTCCTCTTCGAGCTCCGAACCACCCACCCGGCGGGCGTCCTGACCTGGGGCGGGGTCGTCCTGGTGTCGCTCCCCAGCGTGGGCCTGGGAACCTTCGAGGGGGCYCGCAGGGGCGCGAGGGGKCCCATCCGGTACCCGGTCGTCCTTRGCTTGCTCTACCAGCTCTTTGGGATCTCGGTCGTGTTCCCGCTGATCTTTGTCCCGGCCTTTGTCTTTGGTGAGGGCGAGCGCGGGGCGCCCCTCACCCGGTTTCGCGTGGCGGTGGCCCACGCGATGCCCGTCCCGATCATCCTGCTGACCCTCGCCGTCTTYTTGGCACCCACGGATTCCGCCCTGTGGACGACTTCGGCCGGGATCCTGGGCGGGCCGATCCTCGCGCTGATGGGCCTCCTCTTCTTTTTCGACAAATCMTCCGAGCTGGCCACCACGAGGAAAGCCGCGGAAGCGACCTCCCGTGGCCTCCAGGCCTTTTACGCGTATCTAGCGGTGGTGGGCTTTCTTGGATGGTACGCTCTGGTCGGGATTGCCTACCAATCCTATGGAACCTCGTTCGGGGACCTCTGGAGGGACATCTGGGTGGAGGCCAAGCCGTCCGTCGCCTTTATGACCATCGACACCGGGGTCTTTTATCTGGSAATCGTGCTGCTGGTGGCSTACCGCAGCGGCGAGCGGATGGCCGSGAAAGCGATCCTGCGCACGTCGTTCCTAGGACCCGCCACGGCGCTGTGCTTGGCAATGATCGAGATCGAGAAGGAAACGGTGTGCGTCATGGACGAGGCCGACAAATCTACCAAGAAGGAAGACTAAGCAGCAGCACGACGGATGGTTTCTGTGCTTCGGCTATTTTTCTGCCCTCGGATAGTGTCGCCATGCGACGATGGCTTGCAGAAGCGACAAAACAACCAAGTATGAACGCTAGGAGGAAATCAATTTTCTTGGGTGACGTTTCGATACAAGTTGTGTTCTTTAATCGACCAATTCGTCTCTTGTTATTGTCCTACATAATAAGGAAAACGCAGGCAAGCATTTCCGTTCCGTGACAAGCGGAGATCTATTTTATGTACCGAGTCGACGTGGGGTATGCCGTAGTGTAATGCTAGATGGTAATAGGCTTCGGCCCAACAAATTTTCAATAGAAACTCAATAAAGATTGTTTCGTTCCGTATAACCCAGTGCTTGCACTTTTGCACAAAATATTCCACCATACTTCCCAGGAGAAGAACATGGTTCCTGGCTTATTTCAATACAAGACCAACTTCTGCGTACTGAAAAATGAACAATTCCAGCGTTTCGTGTCTCAATTCTGCTTCGGGAGGAATCGAATTCCGGACAGCGCCAGGGTGACGTCCATTTCTTTCCCGATGGCAACGATTCCCAGTCGGCGGAGGGCCGAGCGGTCGAGGTTGTGTTCCACGGCGCCCCACCCAAATCCCTCAAAGACTTCCCATGGAAGCTTCACCGTGGTCCAATCTCCCTCCGGCACGGCAAAGGTAGCTCGATAGGACGAAAACTGCCGCGTGCAGTGGGAATCTTTCAGGCTGTGGTGCGTTGTACGAAATGCGATGGAATGCAGCGGGGAAAGAGATAAGGAATGCAATGGGAATGAATCCGATGAGGAGTGCACCTTACATAGCAGAGATAAATGTTTCGATCATCTGAACAGTCATCACCACATCGAAATGCATTATTGTACTTACTGCACGTTGAAACGCTCCTCTCCGGCATCGCCCTTGTAAAAAACGTCGAGCTCGACGCCGTCATAGTCCGAGGCATCGACTGTATTGGAAACTGCAGGATCCAGGGCCAGGTCCGTCACCATTTGGACAAAGCCAACCCCGTCCTGGTCCAAACTGATGCTCGCATCCAGCACGTTTGAGACCCTCCCCTCAAAGGACTTCCGCACCAGTGTGCCAGAGGACTTGCCGCCCACCGATTTGTCCGTTACCCCTGCCCACTGCGTTCCCGACGATGTGATCGGAAAGGTTTCCGACAAGTCGTCGATGCTTCCAGACTCGGTGCACGAACGGTAGGCATGTCGGGCTTTTTTGAGCGCTGTGTCGTGGTCGACCTTGGAGGCGTTGGAGGAACACACCTTCGCCCCGCCGCTCCCCTCGTCGACCCCTACTGCGTTCGTATAGTCGACCTTGGTGCCCCCGACCTTGCCGATCTTTTTCAGAAAGGCCATGGCCTTGTTGTCTTTTTGTGTTGGTTTCGTCGATGACGACTCGTCCCGTTGGGTGTCCGTGGATCCATTCAAGCATATGTTTCTGCTACGGGTGGCAGTACTCCATTTGTTCAGCGAAAATGCGGAGGCAGTGTGCGCATGCGGCGAACTGACCAACAACACTGCCAACAGCAACAGGAAAAAGGACGGGAAAGAAAAAAACGCACCCGTCATAATGGTCCGATCGGAGGTAACGTGCAATATGGATTCTGTTCGTCAACACTTCGTCGTTGTGCGACCTTGGGATGTGAATGCCAATAGGAACACTTTTTGGGTGAGGACCTTGGATTCGGCACACCTGCTTTTCAAATGGATTCGTATTTTCCATCTGCTAGGGCGAGTTTTGATTGTTTTACTTCTTGACATACGTACGTACGGTAGAGTCTTCGGAAGAAAAAGAGAGAAGGCGCAGAAGAATTCAATCAATGCCTTTCAGTTTCAACATGATGCTGCCTACCGTTGCGTGTTTGTACGGTACGGTACCAAGTAGTACAATAGGGTATTGCACGTACGAATTGAATTCGTTCGTTGAAAAAGATATCTTCTACCGTACGGTATGTACCTTGCCGTACATATTATTTTGTTACGAAGAACTTCGTACAATGTACCGCGGGGTGTAGGTTTGGTTTGATTCACTACGAGTCTCAAGTCCAATAATCAAAAACCAAAATGTTAGATACTATCAATACATATTATCTATCGATATGTATCATAGGGTACAAAGCAAATCCGAACTCATTGCTTATTCATGCCATGCCTGCGCATGCGCGTGCTACGTCCAACCAGTTTGTGTGCGACTACGAATAACGTGGTCAATGGTACTCGTATGGTCTTCAAGTACCGGTAGGTATGGTACCCGTATCATCCAGTAGTATTCCTGAAGTCGATTAAACTACGGTACGTAGTCTCTCGTACCGTACCATACGTATTCTGTCATAAGAAAAATGTTTTTTCGGTTTACGGGTCTTGGTTTTCGTCGTCCATTCGTCGATGGGGTGATGATTCTCGATCACCCCGCCCTACTGATTTGTTTCTTCCTGCCTCGCATCGCACATAAATGGACGAAGAAAACAATACTGTGGTTGAAGAGAAAGTACAAGTTCCTAGAACTGTACGGTACTCCATAAGTAAGCGATTCAGTTGTGAAGGCGACCACCAATCAAATATCAAAAAGTAAGAAAGACCTCTTGCCCCCATCCAATCCATTCGAGTACAGGACCGTACTAGTTCCTACGTTAGAGACAACAAACAGCATCGTAAATTTTGTGGAAAGCCGAACCCACAGATTCCATATTCCCAACATCGGTGTTCATATTTTAAGTCTTAGTTTAGCTTGTTTTGTTCTTCTTTAGCGCTGCAACAGAACAACACGCTGCAAGAAGCCAAAGCATAGCATTCAACACTACATCACAATGGGCTGGAAGAGCGTGATGCACGACGCAAAGCTGGGGCACCGCCCGAGGCTGAAGGGCAATTGGGAACGCGACGGCATGTACGATGCCTTCCCCGACCTCCTCGATCGGCTGGAACGCGGGGAGAATTACAAGTCCTTCTATATAGACGATGAAACCGCCGAGCGCTGGAAGAAAACCCAGGTTCCGGCCCTCCTGGATGCGCAGACTCTCACAAGGGAAGCCTTTCACCAGTACGAGAGGGACTCGATCCCTTCGATAATCAAGAATATCCCCGCGGGCTACGACGGCGGGAAGTACGTCGGCGCATGGGGCGCCACGGAGCACTGGAAGCTCAAGGTCCTCCGGAACAACGACGCCATTCTTGAACGGAAATTCAAGTGCGGAGAGGACGACGACGAAAAGACCATCAAGGTGAAACTAGAGGACTTTCTGTGCTATATGGAAGAAAACCGGGACGACTCGCCCCTCTACATCTTTGACTCCCACTTTCTCGACCACAAGGACGCGGATCGGCTGCGGAGTGATTACAGCGTTCCGTCATATTTCTCGGACGATTTGTTTCGATTCATAAGCGAGAGCCGCCGGTGAGTGTACAATGGATTGAATGTGAATGAGGATGTGTGTTTGAAAGGAATTTATGCGTTGCCTGCTTTTTCCACCACAGTGCTATCCATGCTGCACATGTTTTCGATGCATTGATGCAGTACAAATTTTCGATATTGTATGGAATAACTTACTCATTCAGCTCGGTCTCATCTCTCTCGTACTAATCAACTGTATGGCACCTTGATCTGAAACCATTCTTCATCAACTTGCGTTCAGGCCACCCTACCGATGGTGGCTTCTGGGACCGAAGCGCAGTGGAACCTGCGTCCACATCGGTAAGTCAAGTTATTGAATTTATTGTGTATCTGACATAATGCAGGCGCTGTGGGTTTGTGGATTTGAACGAAATGAATCGTTTGATTGACAGCAACCAATTGTTGTTTGTCTTCTTTTGTCTCTTCCCCAAACACAACGTTAGACCCGCTGGCTACCGGTGCCTGGAACACGCTCATTGTTGGCCAAAAGCGCTGGGTGCTCTTCCCTCCCCACGTCTCGAAGAAGGTTGTGAAGGGATCTGGTCTCGTTCGAGACGACGAAGACGACGAGGCTGTCCACTACTTTTCATTCATTCTTCCCCGCATCAAGCGAAAGGCCGCTATGCTAAAGGGCCTGCCCAAGTACAAGGATTTTTGCTGCTTCGAGTTTACCCAGAACGCTGGCGAGACCATCTATGTTCCCAATGGCTGGTGGCACGCCGTCCTGAATCTCACCGATACGGTGGCTGTGACGCAGAATTTTTGCTCCCCCCGGAACTTTGACGAGTCGTGGATCAAGACGCGGAAGGGACGGAAGCGCATGGCGTGGAAGCTCCTCTGTGCACTCGAGCAAAACGGGTACCCCGAGCTGGCGGAACGCGCCAGGTTCCTGAACGAACGGGACAACTTCGTTATGAAGTACGACCCGGCCGAGATCGAGAAGCGAGAGCGGGCGGAGGCCGCAAAGAGGCAAAAGAAAAAGAAATAGGGAACGAGGGAAAACAAAAGCTTGCGTTGATTGACCCCCGGTCGAAACGGGTTGATTCCCAGAGAACGAAAAAATAAATAGTTCGCAACACCGTGGTGTCGTTGCCCAGCAATGTCGTGGGGACATCAGGTTGCAATGCATCGCTAATGATCACCTGGCTTCGTCGTTCACTACTGTTGTAACAGTATTACCATAGGGGCGAGGGTTGACAAGTCCCAAGATTACGCCAAGCAAGCTCTGTAGCTTTTCAGCGGCGGAGCTTTCATCCAAAGTATCACCAAGGAAAAATTTTACTGTTTCTGATACAGATTGACCATTATAAATTTCATTTAGAAACTCATACAAAAACGAAAAAGCAACTACATCAATGTTTGCTGTGTCGTTCCTATGGTTTTGTTTTCTACCTAGATAGCAAATATTTTTACTATAGTACTGTAAACGTTTAGCCTTCTTCCTTGGCTGCTATGTACTGTTACGGCTTGACGCTTTTGGCCGACCATGTCGACCCATCTGGTCCGGATTGCCGCTCGTCGATCTGCCGGTATTGCGCTCCCGTGAGCCGCAAAAAATCCACGTGAATCGGATCCAGGAGCATCAACAAAAAGTTCTCGGGCACGGGGACCACCTTTCCTTCATCATCCCTCCCGCCGACCGGGACCGGAAGCTTGTCGTCTAGGAAGGATTCCCGTGCCGGATCGCTGAGGTTCCCCCAGAGTTCTTTCCGGGCAATCTGTAGGTCCCTGTCCCCACTATCGTCCCCAACCAGCAACAGCGACCCCCGGACTCGGTATTGCTCGCTAGTTTTTGGGAACCACCATACCTAATTTTGGAATGGAAGGGATCGGAATGGATTTGGGTTAGATTTGCATTCAACGCAATGGAATTCAGCGCATGCAGTGCATGGTTCATTGAATCAAATACCACGCTCGTATACATCCAAGCGTCTGAAAGGAAGAAGAGTGATTCTGAAAGAATATCTGATCTATGCCAACCGTTCTATCTGTCTTACCATTTCGGAAATCGGCTGGTGGGCAACCTCGGCGACCTTGTTCGAGCGAAGATCGGTGCACATTTTCATGACGCACGGCTTTCCGTCGACATTACCAGAGGCAGACATCGGATGGTCCTCCGGTAGGTTCTTATTGTTGAGAAAGCCGCGGAAGACGACCGTCCGGCACCGCGGTTCGCCGTCTTTCGTGGCGGTCGAGATCTGTACATAGTTCGATCCGCGGATCTTGCGCGATCGCGCCATAGACACCTCGAGGAGGGATCTCCAGGACTGGTCCGTCGGTCCGTAGTCCTTGGCGGGCACAACCTCGGACGACATGTTCCTGCGGGTGAAGGTGCTGCCGCTGCTAGGGCTGCCGTAAATCAGAGACGAAGCGGGTTTCCAGGCGGACGCTTTCGCTGCCGTCGACAATTGGTGCGATACAAATCCGAGAGCAAAGTGACTCGAAGTGCAGGTGGTTGCCAGATATAGGGCCGGTACTTTCCAACCTCTTCGCATCGGAAATGGTTGGAAGGAATCGATGTATGAGATGTGACCAATGCTCCGAAGGCTGATTTCTTTGTACACCGTGACGATGCGATATGGCACTGCCCTGAAGCCGATCGGAGGAGGTGAAGAACGCTGACTACGACAAGAGAAAACGATAAATAAAATTGAGATTTCTGTTTCCAACACGCTGAAACCATGTCCATGTGTCTTTCCAGTTTCCAGTCAGCTCGACCGGTGATGGATTCATATGGAATATAGGTATGAGGATATGAAAAGGAATACAGTACGGGTTAAGGGCTATGGCTCAGTACATCATACCGTACGGTACTACGGCACAGTGCAGCAATAGAAATAGATTGTGGATTATGTGTGCGTACGTACCGTACTTCGGACGTATGTCCTCGTATCAATTCCTTTCCGTATCTTTTTTGGGAGAACTTGAGTTCATAACGTAGTGAAGATCTCTTCTTCGTAGCGTAACTGGTACCGGCAACAGAGTGTCATACTGCGATTAAATGAGTTACCTTGTGAATGGAGAACACAATAAGGGATCAGATTAAGCCGTGCTTTGACGATGTCAGGAGGGAATCTTTCTCGATGAAGCAATACTTAAGGAAGAAATCGTTGCAAGAGTTTGGACTGCTACGAAATTCCGACGACGAAGAAGACGATGAGGACGAATCCTCGTTTGAGTCGTCGTCGTCTGGGAGTAGCATGCCACATCTGATGGCCCCACCGGAAGATAGAGACTCGTCCGGTGATGAGGAAGATGAGAATGGCATTGGAAAAGAAAAGAAAATGGACGATAACTTCGAAGAATTTCCGCCGGAATCATGGGATGACGAAATCGACGGCAATTGCACCGAGGCACTGGGAAATTGTATGTTTACGAAATCGGAACTGGACGAATTCGGAGGCGATTGGAGTCGCTTGGTAGCTCTTCCGGACACAACGGTTAGAAAGCGCTTGTTCGATTTTCAGAAACGCCACCTGGTGTTTCGCATCGCTTGGTCTTTTTTTGAAAAGAAAATGGGAGGCGTCATTCTCTCCAACACACGACAAACCAAACACCAGGCCATAGAATTCTACGACATTGTCAAAGTCGGGCATGATGGACGCGAACCCCACATTGAAGTTCAGTACGGGAACTCGCCGAACAAGGAAGATGCGGAGATTTTTTTGAGGGATGAAACGATTGAATACATCGAGTGCACGGACGAGGTGGCCCGTGCTTTTGAAAAACATGTCATGGCATCAAGTGTAGGAAACGGTATGAACGATATGTGCTCGGGACTCGTGTTCATTCAGGGCTTTTTCGGACCAATCTCTCCCGAACCAATTCCCTGCGACGAGGTCGAAATGCCACTAATTGGTGCCGCTCCACCTATTCCCGATCGCATTACCTTTGGGGTTGAGTTTGAGCTTTCCTGCAGCATCGGATCCCAGCCCCAGACGGTGGGGCTGGCCCTCGTGAACCACGCAGGCGTAAGGGCCAAACTACGAGTGCAAAAATACGCGAGACCGGGACATTACCACCTTTTCCTCGGAAGCGAAAAAATGGAAATTGACAACGATTCTTTCGGCGAAGAATGGACGTTTGTCAACGATAGCTCGATCGAGGGCAACCCGGACCATGCCCACAGCTGCCAGTTCGAACTCGTCAGCCCCGTTCTCAGGGGGGAGAACGGCGTGGAGGTCTGCCGCAAGGTGTTCACGACGGCCCTGGACACCTCCGCGATCCACGTCAACCGAAGCATGGGCTTTCACGTCCACGTTGGCATCCCGGACGAAAAGGCGTCCCTCGCCATGCTGCAGTACATTAGCTATAGCTTTTGCCGCTTCGAGCCCGTCATGGATTCCTTCCTCGACGAGTCCCGGACCGGAAACCTGTACTGCAAGTCCAACCGAGACGGGGTGCTCGGCAGAGGCGACGAATACAAGGAAATCCCCAAATTCGCGAAACGCATCACACCCGCGATGGAAAACGAGACCGGCGAGAAGAGTGCGGACGACACGAGCGACGACAACGACGACGAAAGCACCCTCCATGGAAACATATTTTCGTGCGGCTCCAAGGCCGAGCTCTTCGCCCTGGTAAACCCGTCGGGCCGGTACCACAAGCTCAATCTGATGAACCTCAAGACCGGAAGGCAGCCCACGATCGAGTTCCGCCAGCACAACGCCACCGATGTCGTCGATGAAATCGAGGCCTGGATCCGGTTTTGTGTGGCCTTTGTAGAGAGGTGCATCGATCGGGGTGAGTTTCCGGACGGAGCTGCATCCGAGCCTAGGACGAGCACGGGAATGGCCTCGGAGGATGCCTCGTTGTTTGACGAGCTCTTCCGGTGGATCGGGGACGACGGCCTCCGGCTCCACTTTCGGCGCCGTCTTCGTTAGGTTCCTGCGCCCGTTTGTTCTGTGTAAAAAAAAACATAGTTCTCGTCCGCGCATTCGATCACCACCACTACTGTCGCCTATCGTTTATGAAATTATTGCTACACTGTATTACACTGTTGTTTTCTAACGCGTGGTGCGGTTTGGATCGCTGTGCTATCCTGTGGCTTGCCCTTCCCCGGCCTGCCCCTACAGTTTTCCAAACCCGCAGGCGTTGATGTGCTCCTGGTAGCCACGGGTGATGCCGCTCCGCGCGTTGCACTGGTAGTTGAGCGACAGCGAGACGATAAAGTGAAGCCAGTAGGTCGGCAGGTACAATCCGTCCCCCGCCTCGAGGACGACCTCGTTCACCATGGAGTGCGGGAACTTCCCGGTGGTTTCATAGGACAGGGGATCCGACCAGTTGACCCGTGAATGCCGGGCCGACGGGTGTCCCATCGGGTAGAGCTCCATGTTGGAGCACTGCTCCGGGTGGGCTAGAATGTACCGCTTGCGGCCGTTCAGGATGAGAATAAAATTCCGGCTCATGTCGTAGTGGGCCTCGGCAATGGTCCCCCGCGATCCGAGCCGGCAGTTGATTCCCCGGGCGTCGGTCGGATCGACCATAAATATGTTGTTCTGAACGGACGGATCAAAAAAGGGGAGCTCGTCAAAGAGCCATTCGTGGGCCCGCTCGTAGGCTCCGTTGAGGCGGAGGTAAAAGTGCTCCGTCTTCGGGATCGATTCGGGTTGGTGGGCTGCCAGCTGCTCCATCTCCAAAGCTTTCTCGCGCCAGTCGGGATAGGAAAGCTTGACGTCCTGTGTCGGGGGCTCCCAGCCGGGGGGACCCCTTCGCTTGCCCCGGAGCTTCCAGTACATCATGTGGTTGTTGACCGAGTGCTCGTTCCGGTATGCCTTGTCCCCGAGCTTGGAGTGCAGGTAACCCTCGCTGGTCCATCGGTCCGCCGCCTTCCAGATGACGGGATGGTGCTTGACGACGAAGGGAACCTCCGCCCTGCGGTAGCGAACGGCGGTCTTTCGCTGCTCGGGGTCCCTCCAGTCGATGATGCACAGGCCCTGGTGGACCCGTTCGGGGACGGTCGTGTTGTCCGGGTTCCAGTGGCCAAGGACGTCCAGGATGCTCCAGGCGTAGGGATAGTTCTCGGGAATTTGCGGCGGGCACCTGCGGACGTCGTACGGCAGTGGTTCGTTGGGGTTTCCCGGGTTTGCCATGGTTCCCGGGTGTTCTGGGAGGCGCAGCGCCTCGACCCGAGAAATCTCCTCGGGCGTGATGGGTGGGTCCAACCGTGCGGGGTCTTCGTCTTCGTCTTCGTCGTCGTTCTCGTTCTCGTTCTCGTCGTTGCTATCGGATTTCGATCCATCGTCGTCGTCGATTTCGTTCTTGTGTGTTTCTCCGCTGGTCCCCGCACGGCGATGCCTCGTTCCCAGCTGGAAGTTCGCGTCCTCTGCGGGCCTCGTCAGAGTCGATCCACTTCTTTCCGTTGCGTGGAGCCTTTTGTGCAGGCACAGCACAGCCGTGAGAAAGACCACCAGTAGGCAGACTCCGATCGGAAGGATGGCGTCGGACAGCCGTTTCTTCTTTCTTCGTCGTCGCAGCTCCATGGGATTTGATTTCTTTGTTGGATCGAGTGTATTTGCTGGGTTGTTTTTGGGATGTGGGGAGTGTTTGCCTCGATTTTCTTGGTCTGGGTGGGTTTGGTTTCGTTTCGTTTCGTTTCGTTTGTTTTGTTTGCGCGGATGTGGTCTTTCATGGGCTTCGGTTTTTACGTTGTTGCCGTAAGTACCGTACGATGCTGGTCGTCCCGATGGCGATGGATGGGTACGGTACTACCGTACGTTGTGACCGTTAGCATTTTCTACGAAGTACAGTACGATACTTTGTACAGTACGAGTTACTCGTACTTGAACCATAGTATCATGTCGACCGGTCCACTGATTAGACCGACACAGTAACCGATAACGAAACTCGTACTCGTCCTGTTAGTATCGTACGTAAAGGTACGTAGCTATAAGAAAAAATGACAGATGTAGACGACTGACTCGACTAAATCGCTTCGGGTAATAACACAAAAGGCGTATTTGCAGTCGTGGAGGGTACAACCTAGGGCGTTTCGAACGGGTGCCGTTAGGGAATGAATCGATCAGTAACACAAAAAAAACATCACGAAAGTAGAACTTTAATTTTACTACGGTACTAGAAGAATAGGTAGGTACAAAAACAGCAACAAGACCCTTGACATGGACGATGGACAAGAAAAAGTGCGTTTGTCGCCGGGGCAGGGGACGTAATCTTGTGTTCGGACTCTTAGTAGTACTACTGACCACAGGAAGTCATTGCCACCCCTATCGCGCGGTGATGTCCGAAGGCTCGAAACGAGGCCCCCAGCGCTGTGGAAAACAGGTTGAACAATTACGATGGGTTAGATTTCGATGCTGACCTGCACTGTCACGTGGAAGCCAGCAAGGGGTGGCGCATTGTGTAGAATACATTACAGCCGATGCTATCGCACAAAAAGGGACGGGAACGAGTTGTGTTGTTGCTGCCCAACAGAACGATGCACTGCCAAACGCAAAGGACGACTATGAGTGCCATCAGTACTATCAACCGGAACAATCGTTCTCTGTGTCGTGAGCGGTACCGGCTGGTGAAGGTACAAATGGGTTGGATCTTGGTAGGATTGAATGTAGATCGCATCACATTGCAACTCGTGCTAGCACAATTTACAAAATGGACACTAGTACTATTAATATCGTGCGTTAGCTTTCATAGTGCTGTATGGGTTCTTTTTCACAGTAGATTGATCTCAAATAATCACGGGTGTCGATTTTTACCGGTAACTTGCGTTGTTCCGGAAAAAAACATGCTCAAACAACACGACCAATAGATCCTTCATCCCGGAACAGAAAATGGTTGTTATTTTCTGACCGCTTGAAGAATATGTTTGCTACGGTACAGTCGCTCCGATTGCCACCATTGCATCGATCGGATCCTCGCCTTGTGCAAAAGCTACGTCTATAGCCGGAAACATGCTCGGGTACCATTGCATGGTCACCGTCGCCGTGTGTTACAACCGGCGGCAGTGCGGCGTCACAATGTCGAAGCACCAAATCTCCAGCGCATCGCAGATCTCGCGGATCACCAGGGTGCACTTGGTGACCAGATAGGCGCCCAGGCACCAGGTGTACGCCACGAGGGCCGGCGCTACCCACCCGTGGTTTCCTCCCGCCGAACCCGACAGTCCGACCCAGGCCGCTATCCCGACCAGCGGGGCGATCTGCCACCTCCACGGCCGAAAGGAGCCCTCCGTGACGTGTGCCAGCATGAGCTCCGTGCATATTTCCACAAAGAGCAGCATGGACAGGTGCATCCCCGTCCGGGGGATCGAGAGCCAGATCTCGGGACCGATCCACCCTATCACGAAAAAGGATGCCGCCATGGCAAAGAACGGCACCAGGGCGGCGGCCGTTCTCTTCTGTAACCCAAAGGCCAGCTTGAGCAGGATTTCCTGCACCGACAGCACCGAGATGGCACCGACAAGGAATTCCGAGTTCTTCCAGGGTGTGCTGTCTTGTCCACCACCAAAGCCCGTTGCCGCCGACAACAGGTCGTAGGCATGGGTTTCCTCCCAAACGCCAATCCCAAACCAAAACGACAGGAAACTAACGGCCGCCGTCCCTAGGAGGCCCTCGGTTGGGCCGTTGACGATCGGCATGATGAGCTCCCCCGTAAAGTACTGTTCCCACGTCGCAATAAAGAACACCACCATGGGCACAAAGATCAGCAAAAAAATGCTGAGCAAGCTTTCGGAGGGCACGAGGCCCATGGCGATGATGACGTTGGCCGACCCAAATATCGAGTTGATCGAGTCGCAGCCGTGGTCAAAGAGGAGGCCGAGGGGGCTGCTAGAACCCGTTCTCCGGGCCTGCTTCCCGTCCATGTTGTCCAGTGTCTGGTAGACGAGAAGAGAGATGGCGTTCCACAGAAATATCCAGCGGGGAGGGTCGCAGGAAGGGTCGCGGCTATCGCTTTCGCATCCCTCAAAGACAAGGTCCGGGGCAAACCACCAGTGGGAAAGATAGGCGGATACCATCCAGGCCAATCCCAGCGAGGTGACGGTATTTGGTGCCATGGATTTCGGAATGATCGTGGTCACCAGATAGCCGGCCAGGGGCGAGAGAACGTACTGATAAATGAGTGAATTGTCCGCCCCTCGGTAGGTATAGGCCTTCAGGTTTTTCTTGGCCTCCTCGGTCAGGTAGTAATTGCTGCTGCTGCGTTTGGTATCGCTGCAGTTATTATTGCTATTGTCATCGGTGATTGATTTTGGCGACGATGACGATGACGATGACGACAACGACGAAGACGAAGACGAGGAGGCTGCCGATGGCATTCTGTTCATCGTTTTCAGCGGAACCGCCTTTTCTTGTTGTTGCACCATCCGATTCGATTCCGCCTCCTATACACCTAAGTGTTCCTGTATCTGATATCTGTATGCGTTCTAGAGAGTCTCGAGTCAACGATTTGTAGTATTTCGAAGGGAGGTCTATCGAAGGTGTACCGGGTTGTCAAGGTGGAAGGCAAGTCAAAATCCACTGTAGTAGAAAACAATTGTAGTAGTCAAAAAACAGAAGTGTTGGTGGTTGGAACAAACTCCGACACGAAACGGTGCGGAGATACCGTACGGTAGAGCGAAGAACAATGCGGTAAGAAAAATTAGAAACAATAATTTTTTTAAAACCGAACGGGATGCAATGGCTTCGAATGTCGTACGAAGGACAGATTCGTACTTCTACGATTGGGATCTCGCAGAAACGCTCGTATTCTGCCTACGTATTCCAATACCATATCTACCATATGATTCATGTATGTACTACAAGAGCAGCTGTTCGCTATGCCTCAGCAGGAAGGCGAGGCTTGGTGCCGTAGAAACATCCATCCAACCGACCCTAAGGCAGTATCTTCCTCCTACCGTTACTTTCCACTGAATGAGAACTAGGAAATGCTCTACTGTTCGTTCAACACGTACGAGTACTATTAGACGAAACGGTATTGTGGTATGGTCCGATTCTTTCGGAAGCAAGAACCAATCGTGGTTGATTTGATCGAATGACAAAACATCAATCAACGCATGCTGCCTTGGTACGTACGATACATACATACTATGAGCAACCGTCAGACATCGTACTGAACAATAGTACGAGTGCGGTACGCAGGTACGTAGGTACGTAGTCGTAAGAAATTTGTAGATATGCAATGCGGTTGCGCTCGCTTTTTGGTTACAACATACAATGCGGAAAGCTGTTACGTACCGTTACGTGCGGCATAGTAAGCATGAAAAGCTCGTACCAGGAACGAGCATGACGGTACGAACAATCACCTGAAATGTACCGGTACGTCCGGAACGATTTCCTACTTTTTTTCCGCTTAACGTGCCGCATCGGGTCTTCAATCTACTAGGAGCTTTTTAACTGGTTCAATAAATAGGCCTTCCCTGAACGGATTGCTGTGGTAAACATCGAAGGCTCTCGACGCAAAGGAAGTTCGCATCCTGCGACGCATCGATCGGATTGCTTAGTTTGTAGCGTTGCTCCATTTCATCACTTGTGCGGGTGAAGAACGATTGCGGGATCCTGCACCACACGAAAGTTGACAAGAGTCGAGTTGAACGAGTCGAGTTGGGCAGGAATGATTTCTGATCGAAACCAAACAAAAGAATTCCCTCGAATTTCAAAGGGTTAGTCAAATCGTCGCCGAGCGGAGAATAACAAACTCGACTTCTTCCTCTGGTGCAGCTCCACGATGATGCGCAGACGGCGGCTCTCCTCGCACCTTTCAATCAACAACAAAAGCAACAAGACCAACACCAGCGATGGTTATTCCAGCGACGACGCCCAGGCGGAAGCAACAGCAGCACCCCCTTCCACTCCGTCTGGGATATTGTTGAACACAAGTTATGTCTGGGTGCGCACCGATGTCGTGAGGACGATTCTCGACAACAGCGGCGACCTCCCGCACGGCTGGAAACAGAAACCACCCTCGAGGAAGCGGGGGAGAAACGAGGGCCCACGCTCCTGGGGCTGGGCGCGGGCTCGCGTTGTGGAAACACCATCGGTAGCCGCGGCAGCCACGCTGCCGTCGTCTCGATCGACGCACTCGAGGTTCGGGGGAAACAATGCAAACAGCAGGAGCCGCTACCAAACACAAACCGACGGCTCTGGCACGACGAGGAGCGTGAGGATCACCCTCGCGATCGAGGACGACGAATACGCGCCTTTTGGCATGAACGGAAAGACCGTATCCCTTTCCTACGATAGCAACACCACGGAAATCGTCTGCAACGCGAATAGCTGGTGGTGGAACCACGAAACCGTCGGTGGCTTTGGCGGCAATGACGATGACGATTGCGACAGCTCTGTCGTGGAACCACCGAGGGACCTGACGTCCCTGACCCATTTGCACGAACCGGCAGTGGTGTATTGCTTGCAAAAGCGCTACGAGCAAGACTCGATCTATACCTATACAGGGAAAATATTGCTGGCACTCAATCCCTTTCGGATGCTGGATAATGTTTACGGGGAAGACATCATGGAGTTGTACTGGCAGCGGGACGAACTGCAGCAGCGGGGTGGAAGCAATCCAAACGACAACGCGGGACCGCCTCCACACGCCTATGCGATTGCCCAGGACGCCTATCGGTCCCTCCTTCACGAGGGGGACGACCAGTCCATCCTGGTTTCCGGGGAAAGCGGGTCGGGAAAGACCGTGACGACAAAAATCATCATGGCGTATTTGGCAAGCCAATCGCAGCGGAACGCACTCGAGCAAAACGGAAGCGACAACGGCAACAGCCACTACAACGACGACGACGACGATAGTAACAGCGATTCCCGCGAGGGCATCGAATCGCAGATCCTCCAATCCAATCCCATCCTGGAATCCTTTGGAAACGCGCGGACGGTCCGAAATGACAACTCGTCACGGTTTGGCAAGTTCATCGAGCTCCTTTTTACTCCGAGCACGGGCCAGCTGGTCTCGGCCTCGATTCAGACCTACCTCCTGGAAAAGGTCCGACTGATTTCACAGGCCTACGGAGAACGGAACTACCACGTCTTTTACGAACTCCTGGAGGGCGCGACGTCGCCGGAAGAGCGGGTAGAGCTGGGACTGGAAGGCTCTCATGGACACAGACTGGGTCCAGAAGACTTTCGGATGACGGCGTGCTCCGAGACTTTTGACCGTCGGGACGGGGTTTCGGACAGAGACACCTTTCGGGACCTCCGCGAAGCCCTTGGCTCGGTCGGTGGTTTTTCGGAGGAAAAACAGGCCTCTTTGTTCTCGGTAGTTTCTGCACTACTCCACACCTCCAACATCACCCTCGCGGCGGGGGCCGACGAAAGCAGTCAGCCGATCGCATCGGAATCCCTAGACCACGCCCTGGGGCTGCTCGGCGTCTCGAACGAGGCGCTCACCAATGCGCTGTGCTCGTGCAAGATCCGGGCCCGCGGGGAGGTCTTTCACAAGAAATTGTCGGTGGTGCAGGCCACCAAGGCCCTCGAGGCGCTCATCAAGGCTACCTACGGGGCGCTTTTTGATTACATCGTGGCAACCATCAACGAGTCGATCGCGTCGAGGCTGCAAGCGATGAATCTGTCTCCCCGCGCGAAAGATCTCCCGCGGATCGGGGTCCTCGATATTTTCGGATTCGAATCCTTCGAGGTCAACTCGTATGAGCAGCTCTGCATCAACTACTGCAACGAAGCCCTCCAGCAGCAGTTCAACAAGTTTGTCTTCAAGCTTGAGCAGCGCGAATACGAACAGGAAGGGATAGATTGGTCATTCATTGAGTTTCCAGACAACCAGGACATTTTAGACCTGATCGAAAAAAAGCGAGACGGCATTTTGTCCATCCTTGACGAGAATTGCCGGCTTGCCACCTGCACGGATGCCACTTTTTGTCAGGCCATTTACGAGAAATGCAGAGAACATCCCAGGTTTGGTGCTACGCAGGCAGAAAAGGCGGATGGCTCCTTTTCGATCGAGCACTACGCCGGAACTGTGAAATACAGCGCGGCCAACTTTCTCGAGAAAAACAAGGACGAACTGCCCCAGGAAACTACGGAGCTGCTCACCTCGTCCTCGGTGGAACTTCTGTCGTATCTCGGTGAAACGCTGAAGAAGAATACCGACAACGAGTCGGCCGGTCCATCTACCGGCAGTAACAACGGGTTTCTATCGAAGCAGAACAAACCCCCCTCCACCAAGCGAATGAACTCGTCGATCCTCCGTACCACGGTTGGCAGCCAATTCAGCAACCAGCTCAGGGAGCTCCGCGACAAGATCGATTCCACCACGCCCCACTACGTGCGGTGCCTAAAACCTAACGACGATTTGGTCCCGGATCGATTCGAGGCACACATTATTGCCGAGCAGCTGCGCTGCGCTGGCGTGTTGGAAGCCATAAGGGTATCAAGAGTTGGGTTTCCCCACAGATATTACCACGAGCAGTTCATTGAACGATATGGAATGCTAACAAAGAAAATCAGCCGTCGAAAGCGAGGGAGGGACTTTTGTTCGGCTCTCATCGACCTGCTGATTCCTCAGGTTTCGGCGATGTACGGGAAACGAGTTGGCGCTGCCAAAAAGGTTTCTCTGGGAATGCAGGTAGGATTCAGCAAGGTGTTCCTCAGAACTTCAGTCTTTGACAATCTCGAGATTCTTCGGAACAAGAAGCTCGCTCAATCGGTGGTGGTAATCCAAAAATACGTGCGCAGGTTCGTGGCGTGCAATTGCTATTTTGAGTACAGGGTTGCTGCTGTAATTATCCAGTGTTTCTTTCGCCAGGTGGGTGCGTCTCGCGAGACGCGCAGAATCAAGCAAACTGCTGCCGCGATACGGATCCAATCTGTTTGGAGAACTTTCATGGCCGAAACGGAGCTCATGGCGTCGAGGTTGATCGCACACTTTGGCCAGACTTACTGGAGGGGAATTGTTGCCCGGAAATTGTGTGCGGTGGCGCACATGGAAAAGCAAGCAAACGTAGTTCAGCGGTGCTGGCGTGGCCATCGTGCAAGGCGCCCGTACCGAGAGACCTTGAGGAAAATCATTTTGATACAGTGCCTTTGGCGATGCAAGGTTGCAAGAAGAGCGGTCAGAGATCTCCGACGAGAAGCCCGTAGCATTAGCCATATTGCGGCCGAAAGAGACCGTTTCAGGGAGGAGTCGGTCCGTCTTAGGAGAGAGATCGAAAACCTCCGATCCTCGAAGTCCGAGACCGGGTCCGACCATTTTTCGTCATTTGAAGTAGAACAGCTCAGGCGAGAAGTGCAGAGACTTCAAACAGTCATCAGTCACTCGCAAATGAGTGTCGGCAGTACTGCTACGACCCATAGCGCTACTAGGAACGACTACGCAGGAACCTCTTGGCCCGGAAGTGCTTCCGGCTGCGAAGATTTTGGTGGCTACAGAAGTCCATCGTTGCCAAAGTCTATATGTGCGCATTCTCATAGCCCTTCCACGCGAAGAGATAGCGTCGTAAGCGCGTCCCATTCCATTGGAATAGGAATGGGTCATGTAGTGTCTTCGCCTAGCACGAGTTTGCTAGACACGGATCCCGAACAAGAAATGGAAGAGTATCAGCTTAGGAATGTCTCTGGTTCAAGCGCTGGTCCGTCAGGAATTTTCCATGCTTCGATTTCTAGGTCGATTCTTCAGGACGACGAGCATCGGCAGGGCATGGCGGCAGAGCCCGAGGGTACGGAATCGAAAATTTCCTCGTCTTCGTACGGTAGCGTATCAAAGCTCCACCAATCCATCAGAAACAACGATGTGATCACCATGAATCGGATCATTGAGGTATCGGACGATCCTCTCGTCTTGGTGAATGCACAGAATCTAGATGGTCGAACGGCACTGCATGTAGCCGTTGAATCAAGCAGTGTACAGGCAGTGACGGATCTTTTGAGAAGGAGCGCTGTTTCGAATGCTCAAGACTTTGACGGAAACACTCCGTTGCATTTTTCCACCGAAAACGTCATCGCCACGCTCCTGTTGGACGAAGGAAAGGCGAATCCAAATATCCCAAATATTGACGGCATCTGTGCCTTGCACAACTCTGTGGAAAGATTAGATGTGCCATCCGTCCGTTTGCTGCTCAAGTACGGTGCAAAAGTTAATGTCGCAGATAACATCAACTGGTTTACTCCACTCCACATGGCCCTTCTACAATATGCTCAGGGTTATTCACTGGACAACAATGGATCGCGAGCTATGATTGTCGATTTGCTCTGTGGAGACATGCTCCAATTTGATATGAACGAAAAGGATCGCGAGGGAAACACCCCGCTTCACTATAGTGCGCAGCTTGAAACACCAGATGCAACCGAAATCATGAGTGTGATCTTGGAGAAAGGTGCGGATCCAAAAGTTTTGAACGGTCGAAATCAACAAGCCCTGCTCTTGCTTTGCCATAACGAGGATCTGAGACGCAGCTACGAAGCTTTTCAGGAATGCCTTCACACGCTGCTTTCATACGGGGCAGATCCAAACCACCAATCGAATTCTGGATGCACCCCTCTTCATTTATGTCTTTATCATCAAGATATCGATTCAGCGATCCAGCTTATAAGTCATTCGGCAGAGCTTCATATGATGTGGAATAGGGTAAGTTTGGTCATTTTGATGTGCGAAGTACTTTTGCATCTCTCGATAATTTTCCTCACATACAAATTTCTTTTTTTTAGCCGGAGTCATGGATTCCAGATGGGGATCCATTTGGGAGCCCAAATGTTCTTGCGCTCGACATGGTATCGCAAGAAACTTCGGTGCATCGTTTGCTTGCTGCTATCACTGGACCACCAAAATGCGCCCCGGTTCGCCCTTGGTGTATGCAATGTAAATCGCCACAGGGTTCTTCCGAACGATCGTTCCACTGCCAGCACTGTGGAAGACACGTTTGTTCGAACTGCACAAGGCGTGCTCTGCAACCAGATTTCTTCCCCAAATCATTTGACATCTGTGAAGCTTCGTGGGTTTGTATTGTGTGCGAGGATATCTTGGTTTCGAGAAAAGAAGAATTTAGCAACAGTACAAGCACGAGTGCGACCAATCCAACTTCGTCACTGGCAGTCGATGACGACGAATTGTCTTCCAATAGATTGCATCTCATGTAAACTATCACTCATAAAATCGGTCAAGTTTATTTTGAAAAATACTGAAACTGTGGCCCACTTCCTCAAGGCTTGTTGAGTCAACATCCCTCATTTCTTCTCGCATCTGCAGCAGCAAAAGAAAGAGAGGCTGCACGCAGAATAATCATTCTCATTCATTTATGGAGCACGAAGCGATAATGATAACGTAGAATAATATCCTTTTGTTGCGAATAGTACAACCCAAATGATCTATGCTAAATCTATCGGCAGAAATGTTCTAGTTCTACTTTATGGAAATTAATGCCGTATTCTTCGAACACCGCTTGGTCACATTAATCATTACAATGAACAGAAAAATAATATCGATGCAATTGGTTTTGTCAACACGCACTCCCAATATGTTGTTACTACTAAAAAGGTTTTAGCGAGGATGCCCATCAAGCAAAGCTTGTGGTCCTAAATGAAATGTTTCAAGCAATATCATTGGTTTGCTCGTAGCGGTAGCAGTGGTGGACTCTCTGCTACATGATAGTCCGTTATGCGGAGTTGTATAGCCGAAAAGGATATGTGTGCATCTTTTAACAACAATGCTCTCACGTAGTCAACCGCAATTCGTCGCATGATTGTCAACTCTTTTTTTGTCTTGATTTGTCTATCGACAACTCACTTTTCAGATTTAGGAAAAAAAAACTGACTAGAACGAAGAACGTCTTTCTTTACACCTAACAAAGGAGTCACTATCGTTCGTTATACAGAACCCGAAGCCAATGATGACTAGATAGAAAAAAGAAATCATTTTTTCACTTACCGCAATACACACACAGCTGAAATAATATGAACCGACGTTTATGCTTCAGCGAGACGGAGAACTAAAAAATATTCCACTAGTATGCATGCTGTAGAACTACCAGCAGGTAGATAATAGTAGTACTTCAGAGTGGCAAGCTGGAGAACAGCAGATGTCTCAGTTCTCGCAATGCTGAATTATTACTTCGTACTTACTAGTAAAAAGGATGACACTACAGTACTTAGGGTGATTGTAATTTGGAGAATCGATTCGCCGTCAATACAGGGTTAGTATAAGTTGTTCCAATAGATTCCATTATTTATTTGAATTGTAAATCACGAGTATTGCCTTCTCTAGCATTATTATTTTTATGTCCCTACTTACAAAAAGAATTCTGCCAGGTTCTCACCGATTGCTCGGAATCACCTCGTCCTTTTCCCCAAGACCGGCATTAACAATGGCACGGTTCGGTGGGAGTCAACATCCAAGAGAGACGCAATTTCGTCGACAATTCGACACTCCAGCAGGGACAGTTGAAGCAAGGGAGGCTGCCAGTTAGATACATCTAATTGAAAGAAAGCGTTGCGTCCGGGGAATCCCAAAGAATCCCTAATATTCATGATGGAGAGCAATACCAGCAGCAGCGTCTTCTTGTACTGCCAAGCGGATTCCACACTGGGGAACACCTCGGAGATATTGCAGTGCATTTCGGATCGATTTCAAGAAGATGGCGCCGCAAAGGCAAGAGATCTCAATGAGTTTCTGCTCGTGATTGCCGGAGCCATGATCTTCTTCATGCAATCGGGTTTTGCAATGCTCTGCGCGGGTTCGGTCCGTCTCAAAAACGTACAAAACACGATGCTAAAAAATCTCCTAGATGCCTGCGGTGCCGCGTTGGCATTTTATGTTGTTGGTGAGTAGAGTGCGGTACAGCTTGTAACCACAGCTCGTTTCCTTTTTCCGTGCGGTGTGCATTTGTGGTCTCCGCTCGCAGTGAGTTACTACCAAGTAGGTACCTCTTCTACTGGCTAACAGTCGCCCGTGCCATTGCATTCTCCACCCTCTTTTGTTTGCCCTTATAGGATATGCTTTCGCGTTCGGTGGCCAAGAGGAAACTACCGCCACGACTTTTCTCGGGTACAAGGGATTCGCCTCCGCCGGGCTATCTCCTAGTTTTTGGTTCTTTGAATACACGTTTTCCGCTACATCTGTAACTATCGTCGCTGGTACCCTCGCTGAACGATGCCAAATGGTAGCATACCTGTGCTATTCTGTTGCTCTAGCGGGATTCGTTTATCCAGTGGTAAGGAAAAGCATTTGGTTGTTGCTTGATGTCCGATTTCTTTGGCACATGGATATATGAGATGCGTTTGATTGTTTGGCTTGCCCTCAAAATATTTTCGTTGTTTTTTGTTGAAGGTGGCACACTCCGTTTGGTCAAACAATGGATTTTTGAGTGTCTCGAACACCGAAAATCCTCTCTTGGGTATTGGATCTATTGACTTTGCCGGATCAGGGGTGGTTCATGTTACAGGTGAGACAATGGATTCGATTTAGTGTGGCCGCGACGGCTTTTGATTCCCCTTTGATGGTTCTGCTCTCTCACACCATACTCCCGGTCATGTTTAATAGGAGGAGCCACGGCTTTGTTGGCTACAATTATTCTAGGACCAAGGCGTGGAAGGTTTTATGATGCCCAAGGCGACCCCTTGGAAACACCGAATCCGTTTCCTGGTCATTCAGTGGCATTGCAACTACTGGGCACCATGATATTATGGTTTGGATGTGAGTTTCTAAAAACCAATCTGGCTCCGTGCTGTGTCTTGCACTGCATCTCCATCGACTCATTTTTTTGTTTTGTTTCCAACACAAACCATCAGGGTTCGGCTTCAATCCCGGATCGGCTCTGATTCTCGGAATCGACAAAGCTGGCGAGGTGGCGGCGGTTGCCGCCGTCAGCACCGCCCTCTCCGGTGCAGCGGGTGGGATCACCGCTCTGTTTACAAACCTCTACTTGGTCGAACGTTTCACGGGGGAACCGTATTTCTCGATATTACACGCGATGAACGGATCTCTCTCCGGATTGGTGGCCGTTACGTCCGGATGCGCCCTTGTCGAGCCGTGGGCCGCCATTGTCATCGGAATGATCTCCGGTTGGATCTACATCGGTGCTTCCAAGCTGCTGATCCGGTTGCGCATCGATGACGCCGTGGATGCCATTCCGGTACACATGTTCAACGGCATCTGGGGAGTGCTTGCCACGGGGCTCTTTGCGTCACCGCGCTTGATGGAAATGGCGTACCCGGGATCGAGCGAGTATCCGGGTTTGTTCTTTGCCAGGGGCAATGAGAACGCTGGAAATCTCGTGGGATGCCAGGTTACTTTGGTGGTATTTATTCTTGGCTGGGTGGGAGTCACCATGATGCCCTTCTTCATCTGGCTGAACTACAAGGGCTGGTTGCGAGCTGACTCCTTGGAAGAACTCGTTGGCTTGGACATTTCGTATCACGGCAGAAGCCCCGACGATAGCACAGGCGACATCAAAGTAGAATATATTGAAGCATTCAAGAAACAGAGGGGATCGCTACGTTCACGGCGAGTGACGAGGTCGAAAGTGAATAGTAGCTACGGTGATCCAGAATTTTGCCAGCAGGCTGCAGCTCGAGAGGCGCTCGAAGGTTCCAATTGAAGTCCAGTCTGCTTGGAACATACATTTTTTATCAAGTTTTGAAACATCATCGGGCAAGCGTGAGGAAGATGATGTTCGACAAAAGCTCTATTTTTGTCTTCTTTCGTACAAAGTGAGGTACTCCGCGTCCTACGAATACATTTTTTAAGCAATACCAAGTTACATTTGAATTTTTGTCCTTATTATTATTTTGAATCTTTGTCGTGTTCTTCGTAGTCGGGATTGTCTTTGACAATTACTACACCTTCCAGAATACTGCTTACACTAAGAACTTCTTCCGTTCCCAGCTCGGCACGATCTGTGACACCCAACAATACCGGTGTAGTATGAGTCTGGAACCCCGTAATGCGTTTTGGTTTACCGGCCTGCCCCACAGTCTCCACGGCTTGTCCAACCCGAACAGTAACCGGTCGCCACGACATGTCCTCGTTGACTGTAATGAGCATTCTTGGGTTCATAGAGCAGGTCAGATAGTACAAGAGAAAGTGACTCTTGTCCAAAAGAGTATTCTTAAGATCGAGACAAGAATGCAGCAACACTAGAACTCCGGCAAGAGTGGGTCCATTCAAGAGCATACGGTCTGCATGGAATGGATGCATCGTCATGAGACCCTTTCCCATGTGCAACAGTCCCTGTGCGATGCGCACGCAAAACACATGACTGGCTTCTTTGCTGTAGAATTCGCTTAACTGCCTCAACAAACCAGCTACTCGGGAGTTGTTCGTACCAGCACTGACAACTCCCATTCCAATTATAGCGTTTTGAGATATTTCGGTGTCAGGATCGTGAGATAATCGTGAAAGTTGATCAATGACTGCAAACTCGGGATTCGATATGTGCAAAATCGCCAACGCAAGAGGAACAGCTCTCTTGATCGGTAGCTCGCAATAGTGAAGTAAGTGATCAAAGGTTCGAAGAACCATTTCTGTTCCGACAGTTTCTCCCATTGTAATCAACCCAACACCCAAAACTGCAACCATTTGATGCTGAGCATCTTCTGTTAGATGTTCCGTGCACTGGTGTAACATCTCTTGAACCTTCAGTACATTTCCAGACCCTGCATAGGCGCAACTTTCCAACATCAAGACGGCAAACTTGGAAATTTTGTGCTCGACAGTTCGCAAGGCTTCGATCATCGCGTCTGCCTTTTCCATTTGACCCAAAAATAGAAGTGCAAGGCCGAGACATAAATAACGTGCATGGGAATGATCGAGTTCTTCATCACTAGCCTCCATCAACCGTTGAACAATAGTTCCACCTACGTTGTCGTCACACTTTCCAACAAAAACCATTCCCAGAGCGAGCCCGGCGAGAGCTACTTCCATGAAGGTGTTAGGCCCGCCCTCCGTGTTTTCAACAATTGGGACTAGTAATTCCATAACATCTTCACGGCCTGTTCCGGCGTACGCAATTCCGAGTCCGGTACAAGATGCAATCTTCATGGTATGACTTTCACCTTCGACATGCTCGCTAAGCAAGGCAAGAGCGGGATCGGCATCGTTTCTTACCCCACTAGTGAGAATTCCGACAGCCAGGGCTGCACCGGCCTTCACGTACTCCTCGTTGCTGTAAAGAAATTTATCGATCTGAGTCAAACCTTCTTCAACATTCCACAACAAGATAGATCCAAGGGAGGCAGCAGCCGACATCATTCCGTGGTCTTTGTTCTTGTAAAGCCATTCGCTATCGGGGGTCATCAACTTATCGTTACAGAATCCAGCATTGACGAAGGCATTTACAAAAGTAGATGCAAGATTTGCTCTGGCACTGTCTACTTGAGCACCTCCAACATCTCGTCGTCGACTGAATCCGCCTGTTTCTGCCAAATGAGACTTGTAGATGTCTTCCGGTGTCTTGGGATCAAGAACGTCCAAATCCTGGGCTACCTTTAAGAATTGCTCGCTCAGTTTTTCATTACCGATAAGTTCGTTCAACTCATCTTCTTCCGGATCATCTTCGACCTCGTAATTGACTCGGTGCCGAGCCAGCATGAGGCACATCTGTTTCTTCATCAAACCATCTTCACACTCTTTCATGAGAACGGGGATTTCGTCTAGACGGTCCATTCGCAGTGCGACCAAAAGTGCATCAAAGTATTCTTTTTGTTTGCGATAAATTTCATAGGCAGTCTCGAGCATTTCCTGTTCAGGAAAGAGAAAAATGGATGAGTATTACGATACTGTAACTTGTACACGGAACATCAGTTTTCTGACGTACCATCAAATCATCTGGGTCTGACATGAAGCTTGCTGTCTTCATGAGATAAAGACAAATGCGTCTGAAGTTTTTGTCATCGATGGAGTCCAATTGCAGCAAAAATTTCAGTCTCTGAACTTCAATCAAGAGGTCGACCGCTTCGGCTTCGGCATTGTGCGTCAAGTGAAAGGGGACGATAACATGAACAAACTTCAGCAAGTCTTCGAAGGCCTCGTCGGAATCTGGGTCGGCTCCATCGATCAGTCTTTGGTTATATTCCTGGCCAATCTCTCCCGCGAGACTACGGACAAATTCGTGTCCCCAGCTACCTAAATTGTCTTCAGACTCGTTTTTGGACTCGCCTTGCATGGCCGCAAGAGCGTCGTAATCTTTGTCTCCCGACAGTTTGAACTTGAGACTTTCTCGATCCTCTGAAAAACGCATGACGAGATTTTGAATACACATCGCATTGTTAGAGCATACTGCAATTTGATCAATTATGAATATCTTACAAACCGAAAATAGCGATACAAGTCCATCCATCAATGTCGCTGTCCGACAAGCCAAATCATTAGCTCACCTGGTTTGCTCATAGTCATGGCCAACACGGCAACAACGTCCGCCAGTCTGGCCCTGAATTCAAGTGGTTCCTTTTCCATGGACGAGGCCTCTTCTTTTTGTAGCGAAAGATATAGTGTCTTGAGAGACTCAAAATGCGGCCGCAAAAACTTCAGCGGCTTCGGGACAGATGTCATGGAAGCGGTTGCCGTGCGCAATTCGTTTACGATGACACCAAGAGCAGTAGCCCGAATGGGGATGGTAACGGCCTCCTCATTTTTCTCATTAGTTACGGTGGAAACGCAGGTCTCAAGCCTCTCCTTGAGTTCCTTGTCCTCTTCACTCATGGATTCTTCCTTCAGGTCCTCTTCCGATTTCTTGAGTTTTTTTGCTTTGTCGTCGTCCTTTTTCTTGTCGGACTCGACGGGAATAGCGTCCTTTTCATCTTTCGGCGCCATTTTGCGTCTGTTGTCGCTCACTCAGTTGTTATCAAGCAAAAATGAAGCCTTTCTTAGCGATGAACCGACAGGTTGTTTGGGGCTACAGCACGGCTCTCGTCGTCAGTGCTCGATAAATTTCAAATAATGGATGATGTACCGGTAAGGGAAGCCCGATGCGTTCAAAAGAGGGGGCAAAATGCTATCTCATGTATCAACGGGACGAAGATCAAAAACATGGATGCCAAAAGAAGGATGCCGAAAGACGTTTGATTCATTCGACTTAATTTTCAAAATTCTATATCATATGTATACTATCTAGTGAGAATATGTAGTAACACCAAGAAGATACTGACCCTCTTGGCTCTTGGCGAAAAAAACTTGTGCGGTATGTTACGTACGAGCTGTATTACGAATGGTACGAGGAAAATAGCTTGAGTACCGGTACGAGTACCGTACTTGGATTCACTCTCTCCAAAAAAAAGTGGATAGTAGATGAGACATCACAAAACACCCGGTTAGATGTCTAAAATTCAATAACCAGATCTTTGCTATATTGAGTATTACTACAGTCGGTAGATAGTATCACTTCTTTCCGTTATTGTCTTCAGATGCTTTTAAGAGGCATAGTCCCTGTTGGACAGGCTTGTTACAAAAGAAAACAAAACAAATTCTGGGCTTTTCAATTCTGAAAAACAAAATTGTAGCATCGAATATGTAGACGTTCGTGCGTTGCATGAAAGTGCCATCGAGTTCTGGTTGAGAAACGCATTCGTTGCTTAGAAAATGATTCGTTCGATGGAATATCCCACTAGCTCTTCGGTCTGCAAAGCCTCGCTGGATACCTTTTTGGCTTTCACCTTCTTGTACTTTTGTATCATTTCGGCCACCCCTATGCTGTCTTTTAACGACATGATCTCCTGCGAGTTTTTGGTAGTATCCGCGACAGAGTTCAGAAGAAATGCTAGATAAGTCTCTCCGGACGACGTCCTCGCCCAACCGAGATCGTCTCGAAAGCTCTCGCTCAGGGCCGCAATCCAAAGGCAGGTCGATCTAATAAAGTAACGCGGGCTGTTGCGGTTAGGGTTCGAGAGGAGCAAACCCGGAAGCAAGCGGGCCAGGAGCACTGCCTCTACCGACGAGCTCAGTTCTTCGACGAGAGCCGCTCGAAGCATAGCCTCGTTGCATTCGGAATACCCCACAATCATTTCCAGCACCACCCGGACCCCTGCAAGAACAGTAGTCTTCTCGTCTCCATTCGTGAGCGCAGCAAGGTCTTTCGACACCATGTGGGTGTGCTTTTCTCGGACAATTTTAACAATATCTCTGGCTTTAGCATGGCGCATCATGTAGTCCAGCATTACCACGAGTTGTCGCTCCGAGAGATCGGTACAATTGAGGATCATCTCAATGATTATTTGCAGCGGAGACAACGGATTCCCGGCAGCTGGATATTCCATGCAGCCCAGGGCAATGGCGAGGGGATGTTTCTTTCCGGTCTCTTGGAGAGCGTACAAGCCTTCAAAGTGCAATCTAGCTGAAACCCTACCCGATCGAAGCAAGTCCTTCAGAACGAAGCGAGCATCCAATCCAAGTTCATCGAAGGAAGAAGAGTTGCTGCCATTCCTATCTTCTTTTCCTATTATTATCGTCGACAGAACGATTTGCACTGCCCCATCGATGAACGATTGGGGAGTACAAGGTGGGATCTTTCCACCTTTCGCGGCTAGAGAAGCATGGACGGCGCCATTCAATTTCCCATTTTTCATCTTTTTTGTGGGTGTTTCCCCATTGCAATGATAATGGGGGTATCCACCCGTGGAAGCGCTTCCCTCCGTATCTTTCGTCAGGTTCGATAGAGCGACATAAAAGGCTTCCCGGAAGGATGGCTTATTTGAAGACTTGGCATTGTCGCCTTGGGAGACGAGAGTCCTCCGGATTTCATCCAGTGTCGCAAGCGCCCTTGCAACCGCCTCGTCCAGGCGCGTCAGCGCCAGCAAGCCTTGTTTGTATTGGGTTTCATCGGTGGCATTTCCCATCAGTTCGAGAGCTCCTGTCGTGTTCGCCAGCAGTGAGCATGCCAGCTTGGAAGATGACCGTAGTCTCTCACTGCTCGAACCGAGACCAGAAACGGTCGACAAAGCGACGCGCAGGAGGCCGTCCCTCGGGTAAAACACGCAGAGGGTTCCGTGTTTTGCGTTCGTGCCTAGTATCCAGTTCCCGCCCTTGTCCATGTCGGAGAGAGGTTTTTCGAGGGACACGGATTGTAGGAATGCACTGGTTTCCAAGTCGTATAGGCAGATCATTTCGTCCGAGGCGGCCGATAGCACAGATTCGGTGAACAGCCCGAATTGGTTGGACCCTGGAGGAAGCCGCAGGGGACTGGTCGAAACATCACCTGTGGCTAGGGAGATCGCCATGCAAAAAGTTCCACAGAATGGATCCTTCGCGGATTCCCTCCGACTGTAACCGTTGGTTTTCGTTTTGCTATGGGTTGCCGTCACCGTAAAGACGACTGAGATCTTCGGTGCCGAACCGGAGGAAGAGACAAGGAGCTCCAACCTGGTCAGTTCATAGTTGTCACGATCGTTCGCCGGTGCCTCGCCCAGAAGGTCCACGAACGCCGCGTTCTGCACCAAACTCCCGGTTTGAATCAGTGGCTTGTCCGGATTTGAATGCGAGCCAGATGCCGATAGCATGGCGCTGTTCCTCACGATCGTAATCGTCGTGCCTTCGCAAAAGACCTGGTAAAACCTCACAGACGAGTTTCCGTCGGCGTCCGATGTCTTGCGTTTTTTTCCCCTCACTGCCTGCTCCATGTCGATCTCTGCAAAAGTGCCGACGAGTTTGCCGTTTTTAGAGTGCTTCCCCCGGAGATACTCCACAGCAAGCGCTCCTCCTACCATCCTCGCCACGTACACGGCACCATTCTTGCAACTCCCATAAACGATGCCCTTGTTCATCGGAAGCATGGACATGGATACTGCGGGGTTCTCGAGCCGCACCTTCACGGCCGAGGCCTCGTCCGGGCCGCCGGTCTTCCAGGAATCCCAGCAGGCGAGTCGCTGGTTTCCCTGCTGCAGGGCGTAGACCCGATCGTTCTTCGTGTCTGGAATCGCCGGTATGCGCGGGAGGTCGCTCTCGGGCCCCGCAAAAAATGACCCCGCATCGCCTGGCCGACTACTGTAGCGGAGGCTCGTGAACTCCCGGTAGGAATCTCCCTCCGTCTCCGTGGAGAGGTTCTTGCCCAGGACGGTAATCTGGTGGCCGGCCGTAATGGCCAGCAGGGGCAGACAGCCCGCAAATTCTTGGGAATGCATCTTCATCTTCGACAGGCTCCGTTTCGAAACCATGGTGATCATGTGCGATGCAAAGGATGGCGGCTCTTTTTGGTCGCCCTCTTTGTCGCTGCCCTTGGAGCCAACCCGTTTCCTTCGCCGTTTTGGCACGCGGATGGAGGTGCTAGCGGTTTCCCATGGCGAGAGCTGGACGAGCATTGTGAATTGTGAACAACGTTCTTCTTAATGAACAAGACTGTGCTATATTAGTTGTTAAGTGGACCGGACTTGTACAGTACCTGGCTGGCAGGCAAAAAAGAGTTGTATCGGGGATAGATAGTACCGAAACGGCACCGTGGTTATTGTTTCGATTCGATGTGATTTTGGACCTTGATTTTGATGTTGATTGGATTTTTGCTGCAAGGTACCGCTCTTTGTTTTCTTGTTCCGTCCACCCTAGTCTAGCCACAGTCCCGATGAGGAGACACACATACCGCATGGCGACGATTGGTCTACAAGAAAATCAAAACTGACGGACGTCGGACAAACACTCAACGATGCTTTCGTATCACGGATTTGTTTTTAGATTTTTCATGTGGTAGTAAGGTACGTACCATACGTATTGGTTCTTACCATACCATACAATAAAGCGGAAGGCGATTTCATAGCCACAGCTAGGAGTAGGAAAGAAACTTGTCGTACGGCCTTGCCGTACTAGTACGTACCTGTACAAGATCATCCATCTATCTATGGTAGGGTATCGCTGTTGTCCGTAGGATATCAGACCGTGCGTATGATTCATACATACGACACATACATACGATACGTATCTACGATT